ATTCCCTGCATATCTTCTTGTTTCTAAGCAAATACCCCCATATTCCTTTTAAGGAACTGTACAAGGAGGTCTCTAAGCTCTGTAGACAGCTTCGACTCTACGTACACCATATGTTTCACCTCTTCATTGAGCTGAAAGGGCTTTAGCTCTTCCGAGGGCATAGGCCTTGAATCCATCTCATCCCTCATGTCTAGCTCATCTAATTGGATGGTTTCAACCTCATTTTTTCTCATTGATGTCATATAGCATTCCCTCGCCACTCGCTAGTCTCCTCAGACCATTCCAATGCTATTTTAAGTGGAGAATTTTATAACCAGGTGATGTGCAAAGGGAATGACTCTCATGGCATTAAGGGAAGGTCTTCCTAACAAAACATTGTATGCCGAAGGGGCATCGACTGCTAGGAATTTTACCGTAATGGTGGATTGGCAAGGTGGGCTTCCCAAGGTGAGGATGAGTTGGATTGACCCCAAGGGGAGTACTCTCACCCCTGAGAATCCCAAAAGGAGAGTTCTCACTGGTTCAAGCTTGTCCCTGCCTATATCCATCTTGTCAAAAGCGGATGCAAAGATAACGTCAGTAGAGCTCCTGTTATCGATTAAGACTCGGTGGACGATTCTGTTAGCAACTATTATTTTTACCACCAAGGGATCATCATGGGGGTATTGGTACCCCTACAAGTCTGCATCTGAGAAAGTGATTTCCAAGTCCACCTTAGGTGTCTTGGTCACAGTCTGTACCTCCAATATTTCTTTGGCCTGAACTTGCACATGTGTGCTTTTCTGGCTGAGCTAGTTTCCTCACCACTAGTGAATTCTCCAGAGATCATCCTAATCTCCCCCATTGGCTGCTGGTGTTGTGCAGGAGCTTGCTGATGAGGTGCTGAGGGAGGGTGAGCCTTGTTTTGATTATTATGTGCCACAAAGCTGCGTAACTACCCTCGTTGAATCAGGAACTTAATTTCTTTTTTCAACTGGATGCAATCATCAGTGAGGTGGTCATGGTCCATGTGGTACTCAAAATACTTGGTCGGTCTGCCTTCATCCGAGGTGGCCACCTCAAGAACTTTTCATTTGAACTTCATAAAGAATCTAGGATATTGTGGCTGTGAGTGGAGTGAGCTTCCAAGGTGTGTACTTTGGCTGTAATTGTGGTTGTGGAGGACCTAGTCGATTCCTAACATCTCCTCTTCTTTTGGGGGAGCGATCAGTGCTCATCTTGGAGACTTGTCTCGACTTTTTTCTTTTCTAGGACTTTAGTCCTTCTTCTTCTCTTCTTTTCCTTTTTCCTTATGTGTGGATGAATTCCCCATTTTAGAGAGGAGAGCTTCTTCGCCATTAATGTATTTTTTTTGCCTTAGCAAGCACCTCTGCCATATTAGCTTGTGGGTTCTTAGATATAGAAAACATTAAATCTTTCGACTGTACTCCTAACCCAGCGATGAAAGTTGTGATGACGAATTTTTCACTTGGAACGTCCACTTTTAGTGATTATGAGTTGAACCTTTGGACATATGACCGCAAGTTCTCATTAGGTCCCTGTTTCATATGCATCAGATGGTAGCTTGATTTTTAATAGGTTCGAGCTCCTATGAAGTGTGACACAAAGGATATGAAAAGCTCTTTAAAGGAGGAGATGGATGTAGGGGCCAGCCTGTTGAACCATGCTAAGGCTGAGCCCTTCAACGTGATGGTGAAGGTTAAGTATCGTACAGGATCTCGATACCCGTGCAACTCCATTTAGTTCTTGTAGGTGTTAAGGTGGTCCATGGGATCCATTGTCCAATCTAAGGTCTCCATCTAAGGCATTCTGAACTTCGGAGGGAGGGAAAAATGCAGTACTTCGACAGTGAATGGGGACTCAATCTGCTGCACCAAGGCATCCATAATCACTAGGGTCTTACCTCTCATAGCCTCCTTCATGTGGCTGACTTCTTGCTGAATGCCTTTGAAATGTTGTTCCCAATATTGTTCCATTCTTTCCTGTTGGAAAGGGAGATATTCATTTTTCTCAGTTCCCCCATTCTGGCTCTGTACTTCTTCGTTGTCTCCATTCCTGAGAGGTGGGTGAGGAGCATGGCCCATAGCTTGGCTATGTTCACCCCCTTCGTTAACCTCCCTTAGGGGATCAAGATGTTGATGCTCCCTTGCGGGGGATTACCTTGGGTTGGTCGTGTCTTCTCAGGACCCTGTAGGAGCTTCAAGAGCTCTTTGTTCTGTTGGAGTAGATGTTGGTTAACTAGGCGAAGAACCTCCGGTTCATTATTTGAAGGAGGATCCGCCATAGGAGGGTTATTCTTAGTGGTGGGCAGGAAGCCTTGGAGGTTCTCTTGTTGTCTTCCACTGCTGGTTCTGTAATCGTTGAGGGTTCAACTAGTTTCTGCTCATATTGGACGTAAAGACGATCAATTATTGAAGAAAATCAGTATATTTGTAACATGAATAATCGTTCTCATAGACGACGCCAAACTAATGGTGTGTGAAATGTGATTGAGCAGACTATTTACACTACTGGGGTGGATCTGAGCTATGAGGCTCTGGGATATGATATGATAATGTACTGGGGGAAAGGGGAAAAATTGCACAGAAGAGTTATAGTGGTTCACCAGCTTGAGAGTCCGGCTAATTCGCTCTTTAATGGAGTTTCTTGCTCCTTGAAACTATATTGATGATTATGAAGAGATTACAGAGTATCATTGATACTTTTTTTGATTGCCTCGAAGTGACGACATTGTACAATATTTATAGCCTAGTTCCTAATTCCATGGGGTCTGTGGCGAGATCTTTGCCCCTTTCCCGTAACATCTCTCTTGATTTCAGGCGGTGGTTTAGGCGGTTGAGAATCTTGCTCCTAGACTGGTGTTTACTACCGTTGAGGGAGCGTTTTGTGGTTTCCAGATATTTTCCACTAATTTCCTTCGGGGTGCAGGTCGAGGGAGCCCAAGGTCTGAACCTCTGAGCTCAAGCTCTTTTGGCTGAGCTCCTTTCCTGACCTCAATTTTCGAGTTCAAATTTAAAATTTTTCTTAGGTATCATCAGTATCCAAAAAAAAAAATAGGTATTATATTATTTGAATACAAAATTCTAAAAATATTTCAATGTGTTGATATATGATATTTCATGTTTATTAAGAAAGTGTCACATGACAGAAATTGAAGAAAAACAAAAAATAATCAATCACAATCACATTCGAAAAGGAGGTAATTAACTAAAAATTATCATTAGGTAACCGTTGATGGAGAAGAAACAATTTATAAAGATGGCTATGAAAAGAGCATTCAATAGAGAAGATAGGACACATTCAAACCCTTCAAAAGACGCACAATTTAGGTATTATTAGGAGTAGATTTAGGCGAGTTTAAGAGTAATTAGTGATGTAGTTAAGGTTATTTTATTCAATCTCTAATAACCTAAAGTCCTTTCGATTGGATTGGTAAAAGAATTATCTTTTATTAGTTATCTATTTTAAATTTTGTCTTCACACAATGAGAACCTTTACCATTTTTCATCAGATGAAGTAAACAAGACATTTGAACTCATTTCAAACAATCATTTGAAAGCTATCTGTCAATTGAGAAATTTGTGTTGATCCCAGCAGATTTTGGAGTAACAATCTTTTGGCACGCCTGCTGAAATAATATTTACTAACTTGGACCAAAAAAAGTTTGAATAAGGAAGCACAACGATATTATATTTGGAACAAAAAGAAATGAAACTGGGAAAATGATGTCAAACAGTGGCAATCATGAAGCAAGTTCAAATGTCAACCCAGTAGAGTCTGTAAATTCAAAAAATGGCTAGTCTAGTGACCAGAATAGTGTGTAGACGCAAGAATTTATGCAAAATCTAAAACAAGTCTTGCATAATCCTAACTTTGACATAAAACAAGATTTAATTAATGCCATGAATGAATTAATAGGTATCCAGATACCAATATTAGGGCTAATTAATCAGAAATCAATCATCATCATTAAAAATCAAACATGGAAGAACCAAATGCTAATCCTCTGGCCAGAGGTTACCATTGGTGGTACCCAATGTAATACCAAGTACACCATACCAAAATCATTTTAACATGATTTTTGATGTAAACCTATTGAAATGTTTCATAATTTCTATCCATAAGAACCAAAAGGGTAGAAATGGACTAATAATTACCCCTGAATTCCTCAGGAGGGGTCATGAGTGGCAAACCATGCCTCCAATGGAATCATTAGAGGAAATTAATCCAAGGTCAGGGGCAACCTCTTGATCAGTTTGAAAATTTTGAAGGCTACAACAATATGACTTTTAAGAGAAACCAATTGATAGAAATGATACAAAATCTAAAAAACTTGTCATGGCATTAGAAAAATTGAAAGACTTGTGTTTAAGAAATTATATCCACCATGTGACAATAACATGATCCAATAAAACTATGAATGATATTATTAGGATCTAAAAAATTATTTTAATTTATTGACTTAGTGATGTGTCAAGTGATATAGTCATAATAAAGAAGTTTAACAGTTATAGTCATAATAATTTCATTGGATCACATCATTGTTATATCATTAGATTAATTTTTTCAGGTTCCAATAGTATTACTCTAAAATTGTTATAGCTCTAATTGTTAGATTTTTTTTTATTAAAACTTTATAACTTGACAAATCATTAAATTAATAAATTATGTTAAATTTTTAATTAACAATAATAATACTCATATTTCCATTATTTTTGAAACCAAATTATTACAAAATTGAGGTTTATTAAGTTAAGAACAATGTTATTTGTACTTAAAATATATATTTAATTAATCACAATTATTAAATAAAAAGTAAATTCAAACAAATACTAAAATTTACAATAAAATCAATGACCGTGTTTGAGTAAGTTTATATTTTAAGTCAACGGGGTGCATTGGTCGCCAAGAGAGATGCTGTCATTGGTGCAGTACAAGCAGACCAATGTAGCTTTCCGGCAGCTCCGAAAGCTCGTTAACACCTTTTTCAGTTGATATAATCACTTGCACGCAGGCAACGGAGTGCCGCACAAGCACCGGTTATGAAAATACGAATACATATCGAAGTTCTGAAGCTTCCCACCCACCGGAATCTGACCACACAGCCGGTTATAACTCACGTTCAAGTACTGGAAATTCAGCGCCGTCAATCCCTCCGGCGGAGTCCCAGTGATCATGTTATGGTTCAAATCCAACGACGTCAAGCTCGCCGGGAACTTCACGTTCGAAAGATTAAACTCAAACATGTTCCTGGAGAAGTCCACGATTTGTATCGTTTTGTTTCTGCCGAACAGGAATGATATGTCGCCTACAAGCTTGTTACGTGAGAAATCAAGCTCTGTGAAGTTCAAATCACCCAAAGATTTTGGAACTGTACCGGTGAGTTGGTTGTGGGAGAGATAAAGGTCCGGGACAGTGCCGGTGAATTTTCCAAACGTGTCTGGGATTTCTCCGGTGAGTTTGTTTCTGTCTAGGCGAATGGCGAGGAGATTAGTGAGTTGGGAAAGAGAGGGAGGGATTGAACCGGTGAGATAGTTGAAGGATAAGTCGAGTAAGTACAGGTTTGTGAGTTGGGTAATGAATGTGGGGACTGGTCCAGAGAGGTTGGTCCAGCTGAGTCTAAGTTCTCGAAGGTTTTTCAGTTTAGCAATGGAGGAAGGGATGGTTCCGTTCAGGTTGGGGAGTTTTCGGAACATAAGGTTTTTGAGAAAAGGGAGTTCACCGACGGCAGCCGGAATTTTGCCGGACAGGTTACCTCCAAAGATGGTGAGAGCAATGAGACGGCTTGTGTTGAGGTCACAATCCAAACCATACCAATCACAGCAATCAATGTTTGGGTTCCATGAGGAAAAGTAATAGGGGTTGTTGAAGTTGAAGGTTGCTTTGATTTCAAGAAGAACTTTTTTGTCTTGTGGGTTGCACCGGTCGGAGAGAGAAGGGGATGGTAGAGAGAGAAAGAGGAGGAGAGAGAGGGAGAGGATGCAAACCAGAGAGTTCTTCATGGTGGTTTGGTGGTTTGATTTTGTTGATTGGGGAAAGCTTGTGGAATCCTCTATTTATAGATAATTTATTGTGTGAAGAAGACCAATTAAGAGTGAATGGTATAATGTATGAAAAATTTTGTTTGGATTAATTTAAAAACTTAGTTCAATATAATCATTAGATTGAAAATGAGTTCACGTAATATTAAAACTCACAATTAATTCAATAATTTATAAATTTATTCACTATAGGGTTGCTCATGAAGAATAGGATATGGTGACATTATATCTAGAAAGTTAATCCATAATTAGGTTGTTAGTCAAATGAATTCGAACCAAATCTAAAAAGTTTTTTTCTTAACTTAATCTAAAAAATTGTTTAAGTTCGACTCGTTTAAAAAACGAGTCTAGTCTGAAAAAGTCTAAAATGAGTTAAACCCAAGCCGAGTTGAAGTATTTGCACATAAACGAGTCGAACTTGTCGAATTCAAGTCGAATCTATCAGACTTATTTTTTGATCTAATTTATAAAATTGTTCAAATTCAATTTATTTAAAAAAAAATTAAACTTGAACGAGTAAAAATAAAATAAATTAAATTTAAATTAAACTCGAATTATTCAATTTGATCGACACCCTTATCGATTATTACAAACCGATTGCAGTTATAGAAAGGGAAATTTTATATTGAGCATGACATGATGTGGTCAAGAGGGAGGGCTGACCAGTGAAGTGAGTGACTGGAGCAAAGATGTATCTGCACAAATTTATAGTTGACTGGACAACACATTTGATTTTTTGTGGAGTCTTTCAAATTAGATATCACCTCTCAGAGCACCGGCTGCTTGTGTACAAGTTGTGGTCATAGTTTGCTGGTCAATCATTTGCTGGGAGAATTTGTCAAGTCAAACTGGACAGAAAGTAAATGGAAAGTGATGTGTGCCTCCGAATTTTTGATATCATTAAAGTGCCGACTTGAGAAACAAATATTTAAATTTATTTACAAAAAAAATTATAACTTTTGAGATCGTATTACAAATGTTTATGGTTTAATTTATAATTTTTGTAGATCATTTACATGTTTTGAGCATTATTGTGATTGATCCTAACAAATTTAAGATCAATCACAAGAAAGCTCAACAGTTGTAAGTTGAACCATAAAAATTGTAAATGATTCCTAAAACTTATAAATGACTCTTAAAAGTAGTAAATGATTCTCAAATTTCGTAAAAAAAAAAACTCACAAAATTTATAATTATGGTATGGTACTAATTTTTTTTTCAGTACCGTAGAACTACTCCATATCTTTAAGGATAATTTAATGAAATAATTAGGGGTGTCAATAATTGTGATTGTTTTGATCAAAAGAAAAAATAATTGTGATCGTTAAATTATCGATGTGTTTCAATATTAAATGACATTATAAATAATTAAGATGTATTATATTTCTAAATTATGTCTCAAAAATATTAATTTAGAGGTACAATTTCAATGGAATCGTGTATCAAGTACGTGCCATTTTTTATCAATAATTTAGACAAAAGTTAGTGTGAATGACTACATTAATGTAATGGGTGAACTTTGAAGACTAAATTAACAAAATTAAAATTTTAAAAAGGTTTGAGGACTCTCCCTTCCCTTCTTTCTCTTTATTTTTCTCCATGCTAGAAGAATGACTATTTATAGCCAAAATATGCCTTTGCGTCAAAGTATGGTGACACAAATAACGCATTACCATGGATACTTGTCCACTTTTTTTTAATATATTTCCTCCCCCGATATATTTTCCTAATTACTTGTTTTAGTCTCTTAAATTTAAAACTTTTGATTTTTGATCCAAATAAAATTCTTAAAGTTTCAATAATTATAATTAAATCTTTATAATATTTAATTTTTAATTCTTTTTACGATCGGATTGTCTCAGTGTCTTTCAATTTACAGTTATCTTTGGATGGTCCTTCACTATGCCTCAAAATCATATTATGTATTCATCCTTAAGTACGTTTTTGTTAGCTTTGTGATTATGTTTGATAATTCTAGAGACGACTCAATAACACGATAAGTACTCACTGCACCCTCTAATAACTTTACTCGAATTATCTTAGAATTTTAACTCCCAACTAAAACTCAAATTTCATTATTCTCGAACTGAATTATTACAAAGCTGAGGTTCATTAAGCAAAAAACATTCAAATACATTTTTTGTTTTTGTGGTTAAGTAAAAACATACAGATAAATATGGTGCAGTACAAGCACATCCCTATAGCTTTCCAGTGGCTCCGAATGCCCATTAACACCTTTTTTCCGATCACATGATCACTTGCACGCCGGCAACGGAGAGCCGCACAAGCACCGGTTATGAAAATACGAATACATATCGAAGCTCTGAAGCTTCCCACCCACCGGAATCTGACCACACAGCCGGTTATAACTCACGTTCAAGTACTGAAAATTCAGCGCAGTCAATCCCTCCGGTAGAGTCCCAGTGATATTGTTATGGTTCAAATCCAACGACGTCAAGCTCGCCGGAAACTTCACTTTCGAAAGATCAAACTCAAACTTGTTCCTAGAGAAGTTCACGATTTGTATCGTCTTGTTGGTGCCGAACAAGAATGATATGTCACCCACAAGCTTGTTACGTGAGAAATCAAGCACTGTGAAGTTCAGATTACCCAAAGATTTTGGAACTGCGCCGGTGAGTTGGTTGTGAGAGAGGTAGAGGTCTGGGACGTTTCCGGTGAATTTTCCGAACGATTCTGGGATTTCGCCGGTGAGTTTGTTCCGGTCTAAGTGAATGGCGTTGAGTTTGGTGAGTTGGGAAAGAGAGGGAGGGATTGAACCGGTGAGATCGTTGAACGATAAGTCGATAAAGTTCAGGTTTGTGAGTTGGGTAAGGAATGTAGGGACTGGCCCAGAGAGATTGGTCCAGCTGAGTGTAAGTTCTTGAAGGTTTTTCAGTTTAGCAATGGCGGAAGGGATGGTCCCGGTGAGGTTGGTAAGTTTATGGAACTCTAGGTTCTTGAGAAAAGGGAGGTCACCGACGGCAGCCGGAATTTGGCCGGAGATGTTGCCGGAGAAGATGGTGAGAGCAATGACTCGGCTAGTGTTGAGGTCACACTCCAAAGAATACCAATCACAGCAATCAGTTTTTGGGTTCCATGAGGCCAAGTGGTAGGGGTTGTTGAAGGCTGCTTTGATTTCAAGAAGAACTTTTTTGTCTTGTGGGTTGCACCTGTCGGAGAGAGAAGGGGATGATAGAGAGAGAAAGATGAGGAGAGAGAGGGAGAGAATGGAAACCAGAGAGGTCTTCATGGTTGTTTTGGTGTTTGAGTTGCTGGTTTGGGGAAAGCTTGTGCAATGCTTTTATTTATTGATAATTTGTTGTGCGAGTCATTCTCTATTGTCTCCCTCAAAGATCTTTAGCAATTATTTGCCCAAGTGGATACAGCCCCCCAAAAAAATGAATCTAAAATTATAGAGAGAATAATTTATGTATACAACACATGATATATACATGAACTATAAATGATGATTCAATAGCTAAGTCTAGCCACAAGTAATTCAAAGATTACAAATTTGACAATTCTTATACACCTTTAAGAGTTGGTCATTCTTACTCTTCAAGGATATGTTCTAAGTTTGCTCGAATTATGGTGGTAATATTCGAGTTTAAGAGATTAATTAGTATAAGTATAGACATCTAATAAAGAAATATATATATATATATATATATATGTATGTATAGTATTGTCATTTTTTGACCGAGGATAAGATTGTTTGACGTCCATAACTTTTGACTTTCTTGAATGCCAAAGGAGCTTGTTTTGATTGCCACTGCCCTAATGGATCACTTTAAAAAGGCGAGACAAAAATTTAACTTTAACAAGACCAATTAAGATTGAAACTTATATAAAGTATAGGATATGGAAACTATATCAAGAAAATTAATATATAATAAAGTGATTTATAATTTAAATCTAAAAAAATAAACAAAATAATTTTTGTTATTCGCGGTTGAGATCGTTTTAAATTTTATTTTAAAGTTAATCTAACAGTTAATATTAACATCATAAATTTAATAGTAAAAATAGGCTCATAATAATGTGTTTGAAGTGACTTTTTAAAATACTTTTAGAAATTTTTTCTTATAAGTACTTTAAAAAAAAAGTGTTTGAAACCGCTCAACCACTACTTTTACCACCACCCCCCTCCGCCACCACCACCGCCATCGTTGTCGCTGCCACTACCACCACCCCCACCCCCACCACCATTGTCGTCGTCGCCACCACCATCACCATCACCGCCACCACCTTACCACCATCGCCACCACCCCTTACTGCCACTGCCACCACCACTACCACTGCCACCACCACCACCATCGCGGCCATCACGGTTATTGTCACCCACCACAACCATCACTGTCTCCTACCACTACCACTGTCGCCCACCACCTCTCGCCCCCCACTATAAATCGATGCTTAATTTCTTTTATATTTTCTCTATATTTGTGATTTAATTTTGGATATAAATACAAATATGTTTATTGTTTACCATTTTTTATTTCTCTGTGTTTTCAGGCACAAGCAATAACTAGTATTTAAATACAACAGACTTCCTAACAATTTACAAAGGTATGATATAAACTATATAACTCCCTAAATTTCTTTAAACGGTAGCAATTGCCCAAAGCAATGGGTTGTTTGTTTTTTCGTATATGGCGGACATGTTGTTTGAAGAGAAAAGATAAAACAAACGATTTATTGTATTTTATTAAAAACTAAGATACAAGTTTTATGGTCCTCACTATACATAGTTTAACTTGATTGATACTCCTATGCTATGGTTTATGATTGGTGTGATCTTAATTTGAATTGATTAATACTCCACACTTCTAAAAAAAAAAAAAAAGTGTTTGAAACCACTCCACCACTACCTCTACTACCTCCCATCGTCACCGCCACCGTCACCACTACCACCACCACCACTATCATCACCGTCGCCATCACCACCATTACCATCATCTTCACCACCACTGTCGCCGTCGTCATCGCCATTGCCATCGCTGCCGCCACCACCACCCCCACCCCTACCCCCACCACGACCAAACCGTCCCTTGCCACCACCACCATCGTCGTCCCCCCCACCATCACCGTTACCGCCACCACCATCGTTGCCACCGTCGGCACCACCCCTACCACCACCACCCCCACCACCACCACCCCCACCACCGCTATCGTCGCCACCACCCCCATTATTGCTGCCCTCGCAGCTGCCATGGTTATTGCCACTCATCACAACCATCACCGTCTCCTACCACTACCAATGCCGCCCACCACCTCTCACCCCCCCTACAAATCAATGTTTAAATTTTTTTATCTCTTCTCTATGTTTGTAATTTAATTTTATATATGAATACAAATATGTTTATTGTTTACTATTTTTTATTACTCTGTGTCTTCATACATAAGCAATAACTAATACTTAAATACAACAGACTTCCTAACAAATTACAAATGTATGATATAAACTATATAACACCCTGAATTTCTTTAAACGGTAGCAATTGCCCAAAGCAATGGGTCGTTTGTTTTCCCGTATATGGCGCACATGTTGTTTGAAGAGAAGACATAAAACAAACGGTTTATTGTATTTTATTAAAAACTAAGATACAAGTTTTAGGACTTGGAGAGGGGTCCGGGGATACCATTAATTGAACATGTCACATTAAAGTTGACTAATCTCTCCCAGGTACTTACGAATAATATAACTCAAACATGACATAGTTTAACTTGATTGATACTCCTATGCTATAGTTTATGATTGGTGTGATCTTACTATGGATTGAATAATACCCTACATAAATTTAAGACATGACTTTGTGATTGGTAAGATCCCAAGCCACCAAAGTCTAGTAATTTAGGTTTCGGTCGTAGTGTGTAGTAACTTAGGTACTTCTGGGCTAACATCTGCAATTTACGCATTCATTAAGAAGGGAAAGGTTATGGTATTATTAGTGGTATTGTACTATAAATTACAATTTTTTAAGGTTAAGTTATAATTTTTTTGAAGTGTGAATTATAAGTTTAAAAAACATGATTGATCATGGAAATTTAAGATCGCGACCGAGAGTTCATGATAGATTTGTGATCTCCTTACAATCTCTTAAACCATCCATTATCTCTTATAAATTTTACCATAAAAAATATCGATTGTATGATACCCAAAAAAAAATTGATACCATAGATTTTTCCATTAAAAAGGCAATTTTATGTTGAGCATGACAAGGTATAGTCAAAGTACATAAGAACAAGAGGGAGAGCTGACTGGTGAAGTGAGGAACAGAGGAAGTAGAAACACATTGGATTTTTTTGTGGAGTTTTTCAAATTGGATACCACCTATCAGAGATGCAGCTTGTGTCCATGCTGTGGTCATTAGTTTGCTGGTCAATCATTTAAGGGAAGGATTTGTCAAGGAAAATGGAAAGTGATGTGTGATTACCGCTTGTAAATATCATTCAAGAGACTTGACTATGGTACCGAAATTTAAAATTTTGATATCATATTAAAATTTATTATATTTGTGGATAGTTTTACTTTTGTTTCATATAAAATATTAATATAGTTTAGAAAATTTATTGTGACTAAAGAATTATACTGATGTAACATAAATTAATTTTAAAAAAATACGTATACTATTATTTTTTTATTTTAAAAATGAAAGGGTTAAACTTTTCGATAAAAAATAAAATAGTTATATATAAGCATAATGTTATCTTTGTATATGAGATGAGTAATATTATATTGATAGAGTTTTTGAAGGTTTTTTTTAACATTTTATTAAAAATATAATGATGCATGTTATTTTAAGGGTAATATAGACATTTTTGTATAGAATTTGATATTTATATATAAAGAATAGATAATTAAAAGAAATGTTAGAGATAATTTGGAGTTTTAAAAACATAAGGAAAAGATAATAATTGTGAAAGAATGAAGTAATATTTGTAATTCTTACTAAGGGTAAAATAGAGAGTCAAAAATTTTTTATGTTAATGTACTTTTTTAGTATTAGTATAGATTTGATGGTGTAATTTGGAGATTCAATAATTGTGATCATTAAATTATTTGAATGTCTCAATATTGAATAAAATTTATTGTTAATTTAACAATTACAATACATTAAATCTTTTAATTATATTTTAATAACATTAATGATGAGAGCATATTTCATTGAGAGGTACAGTTTGAACGGGTAACTCAAAACCTCCTTTAAGATTTTTTACTTGGGTACGATTAATACATGACTCATGTATATTCTAGTTTAACAGAAATTAAACTCAAATTTTAGCCAAAATTGTATAGCCCTCCAAAATTAATTAGAATTGAATCCGACTAAAACCTGAATTTTCAGCAGAAAATTGAAGCCGAATTTTAATTCAAATTGTGTAACTTGAGTTTTATCTATCATCAAAATCTTAAGTATGACAGAATACTAAAATGGAATTCGGGACTAAGATTTTATAACTTAAGTTTCAAGGGGGCTCACAACCCGTTTATTCCGCCAAGGTTGCACACCTAATCTAATTTTGAACGAGACCCTTGACATGATAATTTTATGATTAGAACCCGAGTGATTGGATATGCAATTATTTGGACAAGCCAAAAAACTGTGGCTAATTATTTATTTATTTTTGCTTTGAACATGCATTAGTGGATTTAATCCATCTTATGTGCTGGATCTGATTAACTTTGGAAGAGAAGTTGTTGAAGACGTTTTTACTATGGGTATATATACACACACACACGCATCTATATACCTTCACTACATAGAGCTTCTCCAAGCATTTCAACAGGAGAAAGAATGCCAGGTGGACTTGTGGTGTGATGCTTACTATGCTAATCAATTTTTTAATTTCATAACTAATTGCATGTAAGTCACCATTTTTGTCCGACTTTGCCCGTAAACCCATAAGCGGATGATAAGGGGTTGAATATTCAAATCCTGTAGTCTAAGGGGAGAGAGAGAGAGAGAGAGAGAGAACCCAGAAGATCTGAATCCTTCTAATTGGAGATTTTGTCAATTTCCATTAATTACTGTTAAGCTTATCATGAGACATGAGTCATGACGGTTTGTGTGTTTTACTAAGCAAAACTATTTAGACATGATTTGCTGGGCTCCTCTGGGATCCATTATTCTTTACTAATCCAATGATTGTTATGAATAAAGTCTAAATGCTATTATTTTTTTACAAATCTCATCAAGGATGAATTGAGACATAGTTTGAGAAGTGAGGGAGGTTGTTAATTACAAATTAAGGGTGATACTCTTAGACACAACACGTTAGCGTGATATAAAATCAATGAGCGATGACTAATCAGTGCTTGACATTAACTATGTTATGAGTAGACACTGCAACTCAGCAGTCCAAAGAACTGAAGAAGTAGGCAATTTTCATAAAAAATTCATGAGAATTTCCTTTGACTAAACAAACCCAACCACTGCAATGAACATGCATCTATTGGTCTATGAATTTTATTGGGTGAAATTAGTTCGTATCGAGTATTAGCGGATTTGTGTCAAAACATATTTCACTTATACCTGATTCATTTATTAATTCTTATCTGACGAATTGTATCATATCGAGTTCGTGTCGCGTATAAACCATGTATAACTAATATATAAACAAATAATATCATATAATTCTTCTGAGTAATTTCACTCATATCCGATTCACTTATTAATCGTATTGCGTCGAATCTACTTGTTTATTAAACGAATGGTTTAAGAAAAATTCAAACCCTCTAATTTCATGTCGTATTAATGAATCATTATATTTTGACATCCCTAATTTTACATCCTATTCTTCCCACCAAAATACATCCATACACACCTATATAACACAAAATTGATTAAACCAGGTTTCAACGACAAAATGTCATTGTCTTTCAAGCAAATACCCATAATGTCTAAGCTTACATATAAACTTCAACAATTTCATAGTTTCATTGATATTTAAATTTGGCTAAATATAACATTGTCAGTAACATTCTTTTCATTAAATATAACATTTACTTTCAGTGAAACGAAAGCCACAAAAAAAAAATATGTTACAGAGCACCCTCGTTGTTCTTGTTCATTGCATTGGTTGGGTGCTTACAGAAAATCAGATATCAGCTGTATAGTGCAGTTTATAGATGGAAAAAAGAGGCGCACATCGATACAGATGAATGTTGTTATGTCTTCTCCCACATCCCATTTTATCGGCACAAGGGAGATTCTTTCCATTCTAATCTGTTAAGCCCATCCACAATTCCCCTGCGAAACTCATCGTTGTGGAGAACGAAGGATGAGACATGCCCGCCAGTAACCCATCTCACTTCTGAGCCAGGCCAAGCCCTTTGAAGCTCCAGCACAGAGTGCTTTGGGATGTACCCATCATCCTGAAAGATGTATAAAACAGCATTATAACAGGTTTTTTTTTTTTTGTGTGTTGGGGGGGGGTTAAGATTCCTTAAAAGACAGCTCTAGTATAAAATCCACAGAAAGGCACAAGTACACGAGTCATTAGGAGGGGACAATAGGACTTCACACATCTGCTACTCTTCCCCTGACCTTTTAATCGTTTATGGCTTAAGATCTGCCAATTTAAGTCACTTGTGCAAATTTGATTTGGTAGAATATGCGTAGCTTTCCATCAAGTAGCCGGGAGTAGCATGGTCACATGAGGAAAAAGGCCATGCATGGACTACAATGACAAATAAGCAGTCTCCACTAAATCCAGCCCAGTCCTCATTGGATAAAATACAAGGTTGATATGCGTCATGTACATAGCCAAATCGACGGGGCCTAGGACCAGACAGGTGATTATAGAACCAGGTATTTGAATCAAAAAGGTTAAACAACTAAATATTAATAGAGTAAGCCTTTTATAAGGAAAGCTTGGACAAAATCTTATTCGAACTATTACACTAACACCTTTAGATAGTATATGGTATTGAAACTTTAATTTTAGGAAGTGTAATATTGGGAATGAAAGAAACAAAAGGAGAAACAAAAATAAAATTGAGCAAGACTTGAGGATTGACCAGATATCAAAGACATGCCTTCTTAGTGCTCTTATATGCTAACAGGGATTTCCAGCACTTACAGTTGCAGCAACAAAAATGACAGCTTGTGGATTTTTTGGGATTGGGAAGCGTGTGACATCCGTGAGAGACAACACATTTCTCATACGCTCTCTCACTTCCTCAAGCGTCATTGCGGCCTTATGCGCAGCAAGATCTTCTCTTAATACTTCCCAGGCAGTAGCATGCTTTAAAATCCCTTCACAAAATGCCACCGCAGCAGAGTGTGGAGAGAGAAAAGGGAGTGTAGCAACAGGGATAGGGTGCAGAGATCCAACCATAGCAGCATGCACTCCACCTAAATACCGTCAAAAATCAAATTTTGAAAACGCAAAAAGAAAAAAGGTATGAATTATTAGTAAAAATCCTGATATATTTATCTAATATTACTGCTAGAAAGTTGAATTCTCAACTTATAAAAGCACAGCAACGGTCAAAATTAATCCAATCTTCATCTACTTTGATCCAATGATACAAAATTCATCCCCAAATTTTTTTTCTCGCTCAAAAACATCATCTTTGTTGCACAGCCCTTATTGTTAGACAATTCAATCAACACATCAACATGCTCTCCAATACCACACAATCTCATCAATCTACACTTATCTCTCTCTTCATTTTAATTTTAAATTGTATAATTAAAAAAACTAAATTATTTTTTAAAATATAAATATTGCAAAATCAATATTCAATTTTTCGTATTGCATAGTTTCTTTAGGCACGGGATTATTGTTAGTGTATTTATATTTGATTTAGCTTCTAACTTGATTGTGCTTTTAGGACAACAAAAAGACGGGGAAATAAAATGTCCAAGTCTACATTGAACAGGCTCCATTCATTTCATGAAACTGAGTTAAGTGTTTTCCATTCACAAGATGATTCCACTTCAGGAGATATCAAAGTAAACCCTCCCAAAAACAGGAAAAAAAAAATAAGGTTGTTTGGAGTCGTTGAATTTTTCGGTTATAATGAACAGGAAACAAACAGGAGGGTAGAGTTAAGGCATAGAGGAGACTTGGCTTTTATTGCCGCTCTTGTTTACTTTGGTGGCGAATCAGTTGAGTAAGTTGATGGAAAGAACAGAGAGATGTAACTTTGTTGAAGGAATTGTGATACGAAGGGAAATGATTAAAGCATCTCATTAGCAATTCGTAAGTGTGGAAATTAAGAAATTTAAAATTGATTGTTGATGTGTTTGGTGTAATCTTTGGACTTAAGGTTAACGTGGAAAAAAGTATTATTGTGGGAATTAATTCTAGAGAGAAAAAGGTGAATAGGGTGGCTATGGAGTTGGGATGCTCAGTGGATGGGTGGTATGATTTCTTATTGTGGCTTGTAGTATGATTCCTTTTAATATGTTTTCTTGGCCTATTGTTGAGCTTCTTGTCCACACTTGATTTGGTTTTTTTGTAATGATCCCTTTGATTATAAGTAAAATATTGTTTTTTATCGGAAAAAAGAAAAGGAAAGACCAAAAAAAAAAAAAAAAGATAAAACAAGAACAAGCAACTCAAGCTTCAGAAAAACCTAGTTGTTCCTAAAACTTAATCTATAGTGAAGGATGAGCTTTAAGTTTTACCCATGCTAAGTCCACAAACACCCATTTTTCCAAACCCTGCTTCCGAATCTAACCAGTATAAAAGGCTGCGGGCCTCTTCAATGGTGACTCTTCCTAATAACAGCAAGTCACTCACACACAAGAGTTTTGCACCACGCTGCAGCACTGGACGCCTCTTTCCATAGAAAGGGCTGCATAACATATTTACCTTGAATCAGAAACCATTATTACACGCAATGAGACAAAATAAGTTTGCTCCACCTTCTGAGAAGCAGTTCATTTGCAGACTGATCCTCACCTTTCAAGCACCATTGTTGCTATGTTTTCCTTCAACAATGGTCCACCAAGACGCAATCTCCGCTCAAAGGTGTGGTCCCCAGTGCCTGCAAATATAAAGCCTAGAGCTCATAACTTTTCATCGTTATAGACTGATAAACAGAAAATCAGAAGAAAAACAAAAAGGAAAAGAAACATCTTTTTGATCAATATCGGACATTTATCAACAGCAAATGAGGGTAGAATCTCCTGGGATAAAATTACGGAATAGTTATTTCCAACAACTTACAAACCTAAAATGAGCGTCAACTGAGTTTAAAATTTAACCTGTATGTATATCAGGTGCAAAGGTCAAACGCAAAATTCCTAGCTCTTAACCGAGAATCAACATCAGATCAGACACTGCAACATACATACAGAAGGTGCAGAGGCCGCTTTGTGCGAAAATCATTACTTTTTATGCATATTATTAGCTTGTCTGCATCAGGTATCAACTTTCATATTATACTTGGATCACTGATAAGGAGTTTCAATTAGCCGAGGATATGGCTGAGTAGTTCCATTCCGTAAATTTCACAAGACTTCTTAAGCCAGGGAGTCATGATGGAGACGATGCAAAGTGAAACCAATAATCAAACATATTTTAGGTGCTAAAAAGATGGGTTGTGAAGGGAAAGCGCAGGCTAAAGCTCCTGACAATCGAAACTAAGACTTCGATGAGGAGACTAGTCCTCTTTTGAAGGAGCCAAACTTCAATGGATCAACTTTTAATTTGGCACATGTCAATAGATGCAAAATGTAATTATAAGCTTTATAGTTTTAGCATCTTCAAGCCAAATGCTGTTTGATTTTGTACCTTTTTATTCTTTTATGAACATGATATTAGAAATTCTATATTTCCAAACAGGATATCGGTTAGAGTAACAGTTCATGGATCTTAAACTTGGTCAAGTTACGTTTTGGGTCAAAATACATGGTTCGATAGTTAAGGGGGGCACTTTGTGGTTTGAATCTTAGTGCAGCTCCTTTGTGCAAACAACACCCAAGTTTAGGTACCCAGTCCACCACTAATTCAGTGGTTAAAATTAGACCCAATAACTTTAAGGATGTGGTTCGAATCTTAGAGCAGCCGCTTTGTGCAAATAACGCCCAAGTTTAGGTGCCCAGTCCACGCTCAGATCCTATTAAAACTTCCATAATTACATACACTAACCAAAAACACCAAGTATTTAGCAAAAGAATGCTGATTCAATAATCAAAAATCAACAAATCTCAAGGTGGGTAGAAGCTAATGCCTTACTGTGTTTCCCTTCAAAATTAAACTTGTTGGAGCAAAGAAGCAGATAATTAACGAATAACTCGTTTGGATTTTTGTATGGAAAAAAGCAGGCATAGATTTGTCCAAAACTTCAAATCACAAGATACCAATTTAGCTAATTGAAAAACCAAACTCAATAACCAACTAGAAGCTTGTGATTTACAGTGTCACCATTAGCTTTTTCTGAGGCAGCAGAAATAAAATCAAACAAACAAAGCAACCTATTCACCAAATTTTCCTGAACAATGCAGACATAGAGAAAGCTAAAACAAAATATCCATGAATTGAATCAGAATACAACCAAACTTCTGGGTAGAAAAACAATCTCAATCCGGATGAAAGCTATAAATTTTCCATGTTACCTGCAAGATGAACCACGCAGGCCATCTTTTGTGGTGGCACATACTTTGGAACAAGGAAAGCTACTCGGGCATTATGACTCTCCGGAGGCAATGCACTGATAAGCTGCTCATCACAAGGAGTCCTAAATACCCCTTCTCTCAGGACAGCAGTCTTAGATTCCCAAACTGTTCTCCAAATGGGTTGGACCAGGCAGGGAGGCCAATTCTGGCCTTCAATATCAGGGAATAGCTGCTTGATCATTCTCTCTAGAAGATCAAGCTTTGTACCACCCCATCCTCTAGAAAAGAATAGTGGGCTTATCCTTGTTCTGTGCATAAACGCACCATATATATGGTCCAACACATAGTGGAGCATCCCAAGATTGACAGTAACCATATTTATAACAAACCCACCAATTAAAACACCCAACAATCGAAAAAGAACAGATTTTTGAATCAATTTAATAGAGACCCAGCCCACAAGATATGAGTTAGAACTCTAATATGATTGGCTTTAACAAGAATTTTCATCCGACAATCCTATACTGTACACAAAAAACGCAGAATTCCAATGACCCAACAGGGTAAATTGGATGATTTTTGAAGAAAAAATTGGGACGAGGGTCTAGAAAAGAATGCAAAAACCAATTAGATCTGATCTGTCTTATTCGCATCTGAAGATGAATTAGAACACGTAATTAGATGCAAAGACCCAAAAAATTGATGAAACCGTGAACATTATCATCCAATGATCATCAGCTAAACAAAAAGATGACAAAGAAATAGAGAAAACGAACTGTCCCAATCGAGGGTACACGATAAAAGAGAGTGCGAGAGAAACCATGGGCGGGGAAGAAGCTGGTGTCCTGGTGGATTTACTCGTGTGTCAGGAGTTAGGACCCCCACGTGCCAGCTCAGGCTATCAGTTTTTTCAGGTTATTTTAAACTGTGGATTGGGTTGGGCGGGCGAAGGGGGCAGAGAAACAGAGGATAAGATGTTCACGGAGCAAGGAGAATATTAGTGTACCCCAAAAATAAATAAATAAACTATAATTGCAATTAGGGGTATCCATTAGCCGGATCGAGTTTGGTCTGTGAAATTTTTTTTGGTTAGAGGCTGGGGAGGATAGGTCTAAGCATTTATTTAAGTGAGTTATCGGACGGGTCAAATCAAACTTCGGATAGATAGGCTATCCGCACTCCAACTCATGAGTCTATTGAGTGGGTCATCTGGGCAAGCTTACTAGGTGAGCCTATTCGTACGTTTTTTAATATATAATTTATTTAAAAATAATAAATATTTTTATAATTTAATATTTTTATAAACTATATTTTTGAATCAAAAATAGAGTCAAAATAGACAAAAAAAAATTTAATTAATAATTTTATTTTTGAATAGAGAAAAACTACATCACAATAGAATAAACACATCTCAATTAGGTTGACACCTTCCCACCTATTTATTATTTGCACAACTCTACTTTTTAAAACTTATATGCTTAATATATGAAAAAATAAATAAATATATTATTTATAATATCTAAATTTTTAGAACTTTAAATTTCAATATTAAGAAATTTATTTCAAAATTTCATATTTGATGGTCTATTAGTCTAACTTTTTTTAAAAAAAAGTGGGGACAGGCTGGGTTGGGTAGGCAAGTTCTTGGGCGGGGTTTTGCAAGTGGGCTATTAGGTTGGGTTTTGAGCCAAGTAATGAGTTTGGGGTAAGTCTAAGTCTTTCTTTTAAGGATATTGGATTCGGACGGACTAACTATCGAATTTTGAACCTATTTTTTAGAGCCGAATAACGACACTCCGAGATAATTCACCCCATGAACACCCTTACATATAATCCTCAAATTGGGGGTGTTTATGGGTGGGGTTAGCCAAGAGTCCTGTTATCTAATCTAAAAAATAAGTCTTGAAGCCTATTAAGTTTGATAGTTGGTCCATTCGAGTCCGAACTTAATATCTTTTTAGAGAAAATTTGGACTTGCTCTCAAACTCATTGTCCAACCCATGAGCCTGTCCACAAAAACACGTTAAAACATGGCCAAGAACTCGTCTGGCCTTACACTCAATTGTATAGAAAAAAGTTAGATCATTGAAATTTTAAAAGTTTGATGATAATATATCTTTAATAAAAAAAGTTAGAAAATTAATAAAATTATTAATTATTTTTTTTTTATCAATTTTAACTCTACTACTTTAATTCAAAAATATAATTTACAAAAATATTAAATTAAAATTTTTTTAAATAAAATTGTTTATATATGAAAAAGGCTCACCCAATAGGCCCGCTCAGTGAATGACGGGATGGACTATGAGTAGCCTACCTTTACTCGAAACTTCGGTCGACCCAACCCGTCCGATAACTCATCCATGAACACCCCTATCTCAAACTATATTACTATAACTACTCTATCAATTAAGTCCCTGATTTTTTTTTTTGTGTCGATTGAACTCTTAAACTCTATAATATATCAATTGAGTCATTATGTTAACCTCTGTAAAATTTTTTAACAAAAAATGACGAAGTGTACCACTCACGTGACACAAATAATTAGAATAAAATATACATATAACCCTCAAACTATAATTATTGTGTCAATTAAGATCTTCAAACTATACCTCTCTAACAGCTTATGCTTTTAAATTAGTTGGTTCTTTAACATGATATATTAAAAAATAAAATTTCAAGAACAAGTTAAATGAGAAAATTATCGAATTTGGTATGATGATTGCTTCCTTATTATATTTGAGAAAAACTGTTAAGGGAACAAAACCTCCTCAAGCAATGAAGCAGATAGTGAGATTTGGTCATTAAGTAATCAGTTCAGTACTACACCTATAATCCTACACAAGAACTTGAGCAAATGACAGTTACTGTAAACAAAGCACCCACTAGTCCAGCATCAAAACCTTCAGCTAATGACATAATAAGCAAAATTACCAACTGATACTCAACTAAGATCTTCGAGCTGAAGTTAACATCACTGGGAAGCCATCTTCACGAGCCTCAATGATCCCGGTAGCGATGTCCAATTGAGGAGTTTGTTGTGGAGATAAGTCTTGGGTTCGTGAACCGAATGTCTCACCTGGCGACTTCAAACGCACTTGAATCCTCGAACCACAGCTATTCAACAGGATTTGACCAAGGCTCAAAGACCTCTAGGACATGGAACAATACTTTAAGGCGGCTGTTCATGCCACTTGTTGAAGACCAAGTCAAAACAAAAAAGATGCAGAAAAAATGGCAATCTGTGCTCAAATAAACGAGAGAGCCTAAAAGATCATCAGAAGATGATCAATCATACCATGCAGGCCAATTGTCCATTCTCCTTTCCTCCAAAATCCTTAATCTCTAGGCAATCAACCTTGGTTGATGTAGCAATCAAAACAAAATGTTTCAATTAGCACATTGACATCAAAGTGCGAACTCTTTTTTCCCTCCATGTCTTCTTAGCACTGGGAGTCCTGTTCAACTTACGCAGTTCCTCCATCACCACTTTCTCGACCGTGTCAATTGAATTCAGCAGCTTCTTCTGGGGTGTGAGAAGATCTGATTCTCCAGCATTCTGATTGTTGATATCAAGTAATATCTTTGTCACTCTACCAACAGATGGTGAACAAGGCCTGATTTCAATGGTTGGATTTGGAGAAATAATAGAAACATTGTGCTTAAGTGGAGCACCTGATAAAGGTACAGAAGAATCAAGAACAGCCTGGTCCTGGGGTAAAGGGCTCCCAATTTGTTGGCCTTCGGTTTCTCTCATGCGAGCTCTTCTTCTTTCAATTGCCTATGGAAAGAATATATTCAATTGAGTTTGTCCAAACAATAGGTAACTAGAAATCTGAGACAGGTATTAAATTCATAGAAAGAGAAAACAGACCAAAACCTAGAATTCGGTCAAGTTTGATATGGTGGCAGATACCACTATGTCTGAGAATGAATAAGCACTATCACAGTGGAGGCAAAAATTTAGGCAATTGGCCTACAGGAAGTGGGTGAGGGCTTGCTTCAAGAAGTTACACTTGGGAAAGACGATAAATAACCATGCACTCTGCTTGCTTGCAGGAAATAGGTATTGGAGAACTGGCTACTGGATGGTTTAATCAGAGTAAACAAAACTACGAACAGCAAGTATTATGTTAGCAATATGATTCCAATTATAAGCTTAATACAGAAAGCTAAAAAACACTAGTTTAACAACTTTACAATCTTGTTTCTCATTAGAATCATGAATGCCAATGAAAACTCTTTATAGACACTAAATATAAAGAAAGTTTAATATCAAGCGTTTGCCAATTATGTACTTAACATAAGATCTAGTCCTAAAAGGGCAGAAATAAAGATAAATAATAGATCAATCCTGCTGTAGAGTGAAAGTCTGATAAGAGAGCAAATGGGAGTAAACAGAATCCAATTGTTACCAACAAAGGCGACAATATTGTCACAATTCAAAGATGGAAATGATACACAATTGAAGTTCTAAAAGACAGCTCCTCACTTCATAAATTGGGTGAAATGAATAACCTAAAAAACCATGACTCAGCTTTAATGAAAACAGACCCAGTTGTTCTTCGTGCACACAAAATCGTAAGAATAAGTTAACAGATTGAACAAAATAAAAGTAAAAAGATAAAAAAGTGATTAAACCAAGCAATAACAACCAATATTTCAACTTAGGATTAGAAACATCAAAATAGTAGACAGTAAAGAAGGAAAAAATAATGTAAAAAGGGTCTCATCCCAAGTATGGAACGGAAAGACACAACACAACTTTTTTCAATCTTGATCAGCACCAAGTGAAGAACATTAATTATGGTTTATCATAATCGTGTTCGAACTAGACCAAGATCATCACAACCCAATGAGTATTCCTTGTTATCGTGATCAAGGCAATGAAAAACTATGCTTTATAAGAAATCCTAATTTGCAAATTGCACGAAATAGTTCCTACAATAGTTTGAGACAGCGATCTCCAAGTTGACGAACCTAGAACAACAAGGTCAGAAAAAGTGAGCCAAGTGAGCACCCGGCTTATCCCCTCCGAAGCTTAAGTCAGTCTAAGGTCGAAGGGTTTAGCTTAATGGACAATCTTTTTCTGGTTCAAGTTTACGTACCTTTGTCCATTTTTCTGAAGAGTATTTATATCTAAATTAACAATGATTGCTAAAGATCTCCAGTCTCATCTGGATATCTTACATCTGACACACCATTCCTTGTGTAACGAGTATTTTCTACTCACGTCTCCTCCTATTAAATGCTAGGAAGATGGGATAAATGCTCGGCCAAATGCTGAGCATTTATACCCCTCCCCTGAATACCCAAATCCCCCAGATCGGCATCTGACATCAACTAAGCAATGAATACTCGGGGGAACAGTTCCTCGAGGGAAACCGATCGTGTCATCTCGACGCATCAGCCATTAATGCTTAGTCATCATAACAGTAGGCCTAGGCTCCCAGAGGGCTGATACTTGCAGGCACGCATTTATTTGTTTTGTCACTATCACTCATTTCGCCATAAATGAGGGGTCATATTGCATTAAATACGATGTCAGCTGTCATACTCGGCTGCTCCGTGTCACTATATCTCGGCGCCCTTTGGACATCCTAACGGCTTCATCATTCCATATGTTAGCCTGGGGGTTGTAAAGCCACCTAGAGTCCCGCCAACTGCCCCCCAGCTACCAACCTTTTCGCAGTGTAAGACAAGTGGCGTAAAGAAATTGGGGGCTCAATCATCACGCCTTATTAATAACGACGGTTACTTGCACGTCTGGTGCCACCCTTTTCAAATGCCCTAATGATGACCCAACTTTTTGATTCCCGTTCCCTGTAAGGCAGTATAAATAAAAGGTTTTCATGTCTTCTCAGAACTTTCACATCATCAGCCTTTCTTCAGCAATCAGACCCCGAGTGCTCCTTTGTTTTCCTCCGAGTTTCCTTCGTCCTCTGAGCTCTCTTCTTGAAGACCACCTTCCTGTAAGTACTTCCACTTGAGCTTTTTCTCTCTTCATTTCCTCTACATTTCGTCCTTTTAGCACCCACCAATAGCCAGAACTAGGAGGGAGACATCTGTTAGGGCTAGGACTACCCATAAGACGAGGAGAACCCAAGTAATTGATGAGAATATTCAAGCTTTTAGGGTTAGGTACCACATCCATGAGTCTGTCTTTGCCTTCCCCTTTAACCCCACTCACCATAGGAGGGATAGGGGGAAGTGTGGATATGATACCATTTTGGACGAAGGCCATCATGGAAGGAGGGTTGACCTTCCCTCTCCATCCCCTGTTGCTGGGAGTATGGATGTAACTGAAACTCTTTCCCCTTCAATGTGGGGTTAACTTCTTTAGGATTGTGATGGGCATAGTCACCTTAAACGCTTGGCTGGGGACCAACTTAGGAGTAGATGAAATTTTATTCTGCTACGACCTGAGGTTAGTCGCCGGGGGGGAGATACTACCTCTAGGCTCGAGATACCTCAATGTATTTGGTAACCCACATGCCCAACTCGGACAAGTGGTATGTAGACGATCTGATCATGCTTGGTGGCAATTGGGAGAAAGGACTAGGGCCCGAGTATGGTAGATTGTACTGCCCCAAAGTGCCGAGGGATAAATGTGTGTCTTCTTCCTGACTTGTACTGATTTTGCTATTTTTGGAACCAAGAGATGTACTGATTTCGCTATCTTTGCTTTTTCAGAAGGATACCGTCGGGACACTACTCAACCCTTGAAGTCTTAAGTCCGGTTTGTCGACCTCCTAAGGGTTTGGTCCTTAAACCCAGTTGAGTGAGCGGCCCACACTCTAATCGGCTACACACCGACCTACAACCGATTTTCCCAGATCCCACCTCCCTTCATCCCTTCTCTTTGGGACGACCATTCCTCGTTGGCAGAGGAAGAATCAAAGGGAGATTCTGAAGATGATTCTGATCATCCTGCTCCCGAGCCCCTTGCGCTTGAAATATTTGATCCACCACTAGTCACCGCTGCTATAATAGAGGCCGCTGCCGAGGCAAGAAGAACTAGGCTCGCCGGGCCTTCCAACATTGTCCCCATCATTCCCCCGCCTAGTTCTCCTCGGCGGTAATCACCCCTATCGCGGCCACGTCCCCAACCATCCAGGGACCCGACTGTGCCGACCAGGCAAAGGTCTCAATCTCAACAAGTCTCTGCTCCGAGGGACAGGTCGAAGGACCGACACGCTCGGGATGCTGAGCAATCTGAGGAACACCGCGTGAAGCAGCGGCATGACGCCCCGGGCCCATTCGTCTCGAGCAAATGGGTCCCTCAAATCAAGACCAGGAGCGATCATCCCATCCTGGAAGCCGACTCCATCCTTCAGTCCCCCGAAGTGGCCTTTGCCGTCGTGGGGACGTTTCAATTTGATGTCGATATGGCCGTATACAAAGGCTATTCAGAAAATCGGCTTCTGATGAACACCATCCAAAATAACTTGGTGGTAAGTCTAACGTTTTTCGAGTATTCCTTGCATTCTTTTGGTCGTTCACTAACAATCCCCCTTTTCAAGCCAGTCAGCAGGTGGGGGCCATAATTGAGCATTTTTGGGAATACAAACAAGAGGCGAAGAACGCTGAGCGAACCCTAGTTGCCAAGGACGACCATATCCTCAAGGTCGAGAGGACCCTCGGCGACCAGACCAAACACATCGCCGAGCTCATCCGCCATCGAGATGTCGTTCATGCCGAGCTAGAAAAGACCAAGGCAGGTGAAGCTGCGATGATAAAAAAAGCCGAGGAGTACGAGCTGCGAGTCTCCTCCTCTGAAGTCAAGCTGCAAGAGTCCGAGTCTGTAATCAATGAACTTACTGCCAAAGTGGACTTTTTGACAGCAGAGAAGGCGCGGGAGCAAGAAAGGCTGCAGTCAAAATGTCAGAGGGTATGGTTGGCCACTCAGGACCAAATGGTCCTTGCTTTCGAGGAAGTCAAGAAGAAGGCTTTCAAAGAAGGTTAGGATGTCACTCTTCACGCCTGCCACATCGAGTTAGGCTCAGATTTGTTCGCCATGCACAGCCTTCGGAGGGAGGCCAATGACGAAGCCCTGGACGAACAAGTCCAAGCCAACCCAGGTGACCAAGTTTAGGCAAAAGAGCCGGTTAGGGCTGAAGGTGGGAACGAACCCATCACACTTAGCTATGGTTCTGACCAACCTTCTCCTGCCCTCCCGTCTTTGCCACCTGCCAAACCTACAGATGATCTTCCCTCTCTTCCATCCCCGATCATTATTGGAGTGCATGACACCGAGCTAGACGAGATTTTAGGTGTTAGAGATGAACTACAAAGGCGGCGTGGAGGCCTCGCTGGGGGAGAAGCAGGGGAGATATAAGCTGAGGGTTGTCAACAGCCGTTGATCTGGAAACTTCTATGTCCTGAGTTTGTTTTGCAACTTTGTACAGTTAACTTTTTGTATGCTTGGGGACGCAAAGCCCCCTTTTTAATTGCAATGGAACTTCATTTTTCTACAAGTGTTCTTTCTTTCTGCATCATGTTTGTTTCTATGGAATGGCCTTGATGTTATGTTGATAATGACCTTCTAGAGTAGCAAGGCTTCACATCGAATCTATGAGATTCCTAGTAAACGTATTGAACTTGTTTTTGGGTCTCTGTACCCCTTGGGACTGAGTATACTCATCCCTCGGGGCTGTGCCCTTACGACCGAGCGTGTGGCTCATTAATAATTTGAAGGCATTACTCTCAAGGTGGAGTCTTACATCCCTCGGGGTTGTACCCCTAACGGTCGAGCGC